TCCTTCCTTCCTTCCTTCCTTCCTTCCTTCCTTCCCTCCCTCCCTCCCTCTCTCTCTTTTTTCCTCCTTCTCTTCCTTTTCCTCTTCTTCCTCTTCCTCCTCTTCCTCCTCCCCCCTCTTCTTCTAATGGACAGCATTTCTTACACCTAACCCAATTTGTAAAGTAAGTTAGAAGTGATAAACATCTCTACCCTTTTACAGAAATCTAATGAAGCTGTGTAGCCTTTGACCTGAATCGCCAGCAGCATGGTAATGTGGGATCAACTAGTTGGTCTAATGAAGAAAGTGTAGTGACTGGCCATATCCTAAAACTTTCTGTTGCTTGTTGCTTCCCTGTATCTATTTGTCTTCCTCTGCTCTCCGTAGCTTACACCACATTCCAGACAAATGCACACTTGCTTTGGCTTCCTGTGGCTGGCTTGACTATCTAATCAGGGGCCCTGGAAAATGTGCATGATAACCTTCCTGGAATGCAAACACCGTCTGATCGTCCAATCAGATGGAAAGATACGGTTAATTGTTGTTCACTTAGGCCTCTAAATCTTTCCCCAGAGTGCTTAAAATCGCAGAAATAAGGGGCATTCATTCTTTAGTCACCTTTGGAATTTAGGTCTGAAATTTTCTGTGACCTGGGAAAACAGAACAAAAGGATAAGTGCTATCCACCTGATAAGACCCCAAATAGCAAGTATGTATATAGGTAAGTTATGTACTTTCATGGAACTGTTCAACTGGTAGCCTCCTAGATGGACAAGCTCACACTCCTTAGTTCTCCAGGAGTAAAATGCCCTAAAGAGACTTCGGGCAATAGATTCCTTTGAGTAATGTCATGAGGATAGAGTGAGATGCCACACCAAGCTCATCTTGAAAGACATTTCTGGGACTGTCTTCCCTGGCCAGAGCACTTCCCAGCTGCTGGAGCTGTGCTTTCCTCCAAAGTGGCAAAGATGTTAAGGCCAGGATCTAGGATGCAACTGTAGCTGTGCCCTGCTGCCTCATGCAGAGCCTGGCCCCTGGTAGGTACTCCGTAAATTCGCCTTGATTGAACAAACACTGACTACAGCAAAAGCACTTTTGGAGATTCTACACCCAGCCCTGACCCATAAAATCTGTAGAATCTATTGTGCTTTTAATACACAAAAGTCAAGAGATTCTTACTGCTTTGCCCTTATAACATGCAGTCGAGGCACAGACGTGCCCACAGGTTAAATTGCTAAACTGCTGCTTCTTGGGAAACAGGATTAGGTCATGAGGACAATTGGACTGCTGTGTCTCCTTGCCAAGTCCATGGGCTTCCCTCCTGTTGGCCCCGTGGAACCCAGCACTATGTGAAATCAAAGCACCAGGAAGCACATCTCTCACTGTGGGCTTGCTGGTTTCTATCTTCGTGTGAGTCGGACCATCACCTTCTCTGATGCAGAAGGAATTCTGGCCCAGAGACGCCTTTGTTTCCACCCTGCAAGTCTTCCCAGGAGTGGTAATGCTGGGCGGTTCGCTGGGGCTTATGCAGAGGGCCCTGCTCAACTCAGCTTAGCTCTGGTACCTCTGCACTCAGCTCATCCAAATGCAAAGGACAACGGTGGCATCAATGGAGAATGTTCTCCGAAAACCTTGGCTTCGTCACACTGTCCCCATCAAGTGTAGCCCAAATGAATTACAGAAAAAGTCACACTTTAGGAACTCTAGTCACGGCCATCCAGGGTGCTATATGACCGTAATCCTTGCACCCAGGATGCTGAGAAAGGAGAGTTGTTAACTCAAGGCCCGCTTGGGTGAATAAGAAGTTCTCCAGTTTGGACTAAATAGCAAGCATCTGTCTCAAAAAGAAAAAAAACAATAAAACAAGCACACACACCACACACACACACAAAACCAATCCAACCAAACAGAAAAACAACTACAAAAAAAACCTAGTCAAAAAAGCAGTATAATCTAAAGTGTACTTTCAAAAGCCAGGCACTCATTGGAGGTATCAGAGGACTTAGAAAATACCCCAAGGGCCGGTGCCAGCAGCCACTCTTGGGTTTGCTCAGCGGACACAGACTTTAGTGAAAATGGGTGAAGATCAGCTCAGACACAGAGCACTGAGATGCATAATTGGGGGCGTGGCTGGCATCTTCTGGGGCTCCAGAAGCTCCCCTGCCTCTTTCCTTTCTCTTGCACTCCCCTGGGGCCTCCTCCCACCCCACCTCTCTGACTCCTTGACCGGCTTCCCAGAAGGGAAGGAAGATGGGCCTTCCACATCTCCTCATTTCATTCCTTCGGTCCTCCTTCCCGACATGTGAGCCTCCTGCCAGCGGGGACGGACAAAGAGGAGGTTTGTGCCAAAAGCCAGGGTGAGGACGGGGGAGATGCAGGCATCAGATAAGAGGGCAGATGTGGACAGATGCGAGCCACTTCTGTCCTTTGCTCTGTGCCTCTAACACGTGTTGGACTGCTCCCACAGGGGGACCGAGCACGGGCTGCAGTGTGAATAGACCCGTGTCTAGTCCCGTTTTCCTCTGCCTTCACTAACCCTGCCTTCCGTGTTCCCAGGCCTCAGTTTTCCCTGCAGGCACTATGGAACACTGGAAAGCGTTCAAACGGGGGCGTGTTGCGAAGATGCCATATGTTTTGTGTGACTATCT